CCTTGGTCCCGACACAATGTGGAAGTCCTTGTGACTACCCTGCTATTTAATTGAATTACTGCAGGTTTATTTTTAAATTGATCTAGCTGCTAATACTTTGGTCCTATAGAAGCAGGTAAGAAAAATCCACTTATCACACTGGACACACAGATAAGAGAGTGGTATTGATCTCCTCAAACAACCATCCTAGACAGCACATCTTCCCGTGAACAAAGCCATTCCTTTACGTTCCGAAAGCTGGAATGAGCATTTGAAAAAGAAACTGTTCCACTGTTTATCGCGTTGACAGATCTCGCTCTCAAATCCCAATAGTGGCAAAAAAACATCCTCACACAGAGGATCGCCACACCTCGCTTCCAATGCTGAGACTAAACGTCCACCCCGAGGACGGCTCAACTTGTCCATCGACCCTCGGCGTCCGTCCCTCAGGTCAGAAGGCCGTCGAGCGGCGCACAGACATCACGCGTTGACACCTGCTGGCGGAGCTTCTCGGATCACCGGGTTCCCTGCGACCGCTCTCCACTTTGTTTATTTATTTCTGGTGTGCTCTTTCATATAACTTCATGTCTCCTGGTATTATTTGTGCTTATGAGTCTCCACAAGAAGAGATTATTAGACCCATGAAGAATGAATCTGAATTGTTTTCTAGGCATACCTGTTTAAAATATTGCACTTCTGCTTTACTATAATTTCACCATATTTTAAAACTACATTATATACTCTTTACTATTCGGTGTATATTTGACATCGGCAGCTTTTAGTAACTTTTCACATGAATCCAGTAATTCCTAAAACTTGCCTGTAGTTGGGGCATCCGGTCACATTTGGGATATCGGAGTTGTTTCCCTTCAAACTTTCTGTTTTATGAAACATTTTGAACCCCAAAGAGATTAACAGCAACTATTTTATGTCAGCCTCTTAACAACAACTTGAGTCAGTTACAACAGAAAGATGATACTCATTACGTGAGCATATTAGAAATCTTATGGCTCATAGTACTTGAATAATTCTTCAATGACATATATGTACTTAAGTAAGGACCTTTACTCATAACTATATATTTTTGGATTATTCTATTGGTTCAGACATCATTTAAATTGGCCTCTAATGAATACTATCTCCGTCTAACTGGGTGTTTGAGAAAAATGTGAATTTCTTTTCCGAAACGACACTCTAGAGGGCAGTAATGTCGTTCTCTTCCTTATTTGTTCTCATCACTACACAAACACGGATTCCACATAAACACCGAACCTCCATCTCCATTATTTGAATCTTTATTTACAGGCCAGACAACCAGGACCCGGTTCCCGCTGGAAGCAACCATTTCACCTCCACACATGGCTGCAGGTCTCCTCGGGTGATGACTGGTGGAGTTTACGCCTGTAAATGTATCACCTAACAAGGTGTAGCTAGGCAACACCCCCCCCGACACCCCCCCCGACACCCCTCTTTGGGTTAACAGCAAGTCCCACAGCGCTTGGCTCTAATTACCAGCTGATACGCAGCTATGACCCGTGCTCCTGTGGGCTTCCTCCAATCCCTGACAAACAACACTCCTCCCTAACAACAACAACAACAAAAGGCGTCAGGCGTCAGCCGCCACCTGCCCCCCCATTTTCGGGGGACCGCTCCATCCCACCCGCCTCTCACCTTGTTTTGCCCAGGCGTCTGCAGAGTGCTGCACTGCATCGGGCGGATCAGAGCGAGAACGAAAGGGCCCAAGGGGCCCCAGCAGTTAAACCAAGAGGGGCACTCTACGGCGACTGCCTGGCTAAACTGTGCAGGTGTGGATGCGACCTTGAGTTGATTGAGGGGGAGGGGAGGGGGGGGGGGGGGGGGGGCAAAACAGGGAGAAGAAAGCGGCGAATCACCCCGAGACATCTGCAGTAGCAGAATTCATGGAGCTTAAAAGAAGTGAACACGTTGTGTTTCCCAGAAGTGGCTCGTTGCACACGGATGTCGGCACTGTGCTGCCATGAAGATTCCTCAAGAAATCCTCCTCTGCCGTCTCCCCTCCACCCTGTCTCCTCCTCTGCTCACGTTCATCCTCCTCCTCCTGCACCTCTCTCTCTTTCTCCAACAAAAAGGCTATTAATAGAACACCCTGCTCTCTCTCTCTCTCTCTCTCTTTTAACTGCAGGGAGCGTACACGGTGCACTTAAAGAGAGGGAGAAGCTGAAGATACCAGGAGGCGTTTGAAAAATGTCCTCCGCGCTGCCCGCGGCAACACAGATGCCAGGTGTCCTAAAAATAAGAAGAAAGGGCCCGGTGATCAATTCGTGACGTTCGGCGTCGGCGCTCAGACGCTCTTGGGCTAAAATTAGCTCCTCAGATCATTTTTGCTGACTAAATACACAGCGAACGGCGTGAAGGAGGCTGCAGCAAACACTCGATAAACCCCTCTTGTGTATTTCTTCCTCCTTCGGAAAATCACTCGAGCAATAAAAAGTGACACACAATAAACACACTGAACACAACATTTTGTTTGAATTATTATTGGCTTCATTATTGATATTACTTTTTCAGGGTTATGATCGTTTGGAAGGAGTATATGCATCTTTAATTTCACATGTATTTCTTGTCCACAGATTGTCCTTATTGTCTTGTAAAGTGCAGATAATACTACGTTTTAAATCCAGACTTCTCATACAGTATAGAGTACGTGGTTTCTGATCCATCATCCAGTGGTTATTATTTACATTATTCTCTCACATTTCATTTCATAGAAAGAAAATCCGTTATCCACTGTACCAGCGTTGATGGAGGCTTTCAGGCCTTTATGAAATGAGGGAGGATGAAGTGGATGGGAGGGGGAGGGGGGGTGCAACTGTACATATTGTTTCAGCGGATACACACACTAACAGTCTCTGGAAGGGGGGGTCGAACCAAAAAACAATGTTTGTCCTCAAACACACGCATGCACACAGATTGCATATTCATTTTCTTCGTACGTAGGAATTTCCTTTTTCTATGTGTGTATGTATGAGCTGACATCGCAGTTTAAACAGACAGAAGTTCAGAAAGCTCACGTTCACATTCAGCCAACGTGTGGGTGTCTGACGTCCGCCGGGCGGAATATTGCAACGGTGTTTCTCTCGTGGCTCGTCTCAAACGCGTCAAATAAACCGTCTTAAGTTACTCTGCATAGATTCCTCAGTGTGTTCACTGCTGGGCACCCTTCTCATTGAGTGGATTTGCTGGTGGGTGGGGGGGGGGGGGGGTGTTGTTGTTTTTTTTCAAGTAGCTGTGGTGCTCCATCGGAACCACACACAGCTTCTTCTTAATGGATTTCGTTGTCGCTGAATGAAAAGATTTCACAGATTAAATCTGCAGGTCTACGGATGAGGATGACTCTATTCGTCATTGTGCTATAAGCAGAAATAACTGTGGATATTCGAACCCGTGAGCGGGCGTGTGCGAGTCGCTGCACTGAGTTGGTCTGAGGTATAGTGACGTGCCCGATTTCAACGGAGATAAATGCTGCATGTATCTGTAACATTCATCATTCACATAAGTAAAAAAAAACAAAAAACAAAACGATGGAATGCACACCGTAAAGATACAATGCATTCACATGCATAGACAAATATTTTTGGTCGGACTGTGAGTGCCCCCCCCCCCCACATATACAGATATATGCAAATGGTTGTTTCATGAATGCAGCTGTACAACCAGGCTATGACGCCGACATTCAGTGGTTCTCTCCCATACGTACTCACACACTTACCCCCCCCCCCCCCTCACACCCCCACACAAACAAAAGTTCAAACAACCCCTACACGTCTGTGCATGCATACACCAACACAGCAATAGTCAACTGATGATCGACTAGATCTTGGTTGGACTGTCGAGGTCCATTAAGGTTCATTCATTTTCACAAAAAAACAAACATCTTCGACTGCCACACAGACCCCTCCCATAAAAGGATTATGGGAATATTTCTAAATAACTATTGATTATGGTCCGACGTTGAGTTCCATACCTTTTTAACATCTCAATCCACCCTAATATCCCCTCTTGGGAAAGTAACAAATACAATTGCACCGCAACCCTTCCAACATACACGAGAGCAGACACAGAACAGAGAGACGACGCCAGAAGCCTCACGCCGGGCAGTTGGACGGGTTACATCCTGAGCACGTGTCGGCAGCGTCATGACGATTTGCTACTGCGGGTTAAAGACCAAAGTGAGTAGAGATGAACATCTGAGCACGGCGGAATTGGCCGAGACAGTTCTCGCTACGAGCCTCTTTCTAAAGCATCACTTATTTACTGAAGACGTCTGTGAAACGATGAAGAAATGCAAGATCCTCAGGAGTGAAGTCAGAGGACCTCCCTTGGTTAGCCAGTATCTGCTACACTGCTGCTGATTATCACTCCCCATGTTGGCGCGCTGCTTTTGGCCGTCACAGCGGCAGTGTTGAGCCAAAGGAAGATGAATCTCAGCGGGACACAATCCGTGAATCCCAACCTAGTTCACATCCGACGCCAACTTTTAAAGACAGCTTGAGCTTCTGGCATCGCAACACGTCTTAGAGGACAACCAGGCTTTTTTGTTTTTATTCCAAATTTAAATTTGGAATAATTTAACTCAAAAAGAATCTCTGGCTCTTGTACGGGACGGTGGCGTTTTGGACAGCGGCCTGCCTTTCAACAATTAATTCACAGAAGGCATTTTTTTTATTCCGAGTGAAGCAAACGTTTTCGTATCCAAACACGTGTCACGTTCGCTGGAAGATCCACGAGCAAAGAGTATATGCTTTTGACTTGGCGAGCAAGAGTGTGTCGCAGACATTCTCCGCCGGCTCTGAAACAGGAGGAAAATAGAAAAAAGTCCTCCGAACAATTATTATTGTCATTGAAAATAAACACATGGCAATGATCCGCGCATTGTGGAAAGTCTGTTGCTTTCTCTTAGACATTGACTAAGTTTTTTAACCCTCCAATGAAAGTATATGTGTACTGTATATGTGTCTTGTCTGTATACGTATATGTCATATAAGTCATAAATATATCTATTGTATTAATTACATTTTGTCTGGCTTCTTATTTGATCTGCATGCACTCTAGGAATGTTTTGTGGTCATGCAACATCAAGAGATTAGCGTAAACCTGGGGGGGGGGGGCATTGTTCTATACACAAATCCTTAAAAGTTGCTGTATTTATCATGACGACATGATCGTGTGACTGCAACTGGGATTGAGTGCGAGACTAGAATGGGAGCCTGCGGCTGGAACCACAGCCACCCGGCGAAGGTTCAACGCGACGGCTTCCACATGGAATGTTAGTATCGAGGAGGACTTTGCCTCATTAGTATTCCTTAAGAAAGCCTCTAACATAAAGCTTTAGGTTTGCGTGACAGCTACCTGCAGTGGGCCTTTTTAAAAGTGTGGATATGTATAGAAGGCAGTGTGCACACAAATATACAGTGGTGCCATGAAGCAAGTGGCAGTCGAGAAACAAGTGGAACTTCTCATTCTGAGAAAAATGTCATGCAATAATCTATTGGCTATATGTTTACTACTTACAGCACTTATCTACCTATCGGCTGTCAGTAAAGTCACAGTTAACCTACTATTTGAATATGGGTGTGCGTATGTGCGTGTGTGTGCAAAACTGTGAAGAACAAACAAAACAAGAAGAAACATTCAAGTTGTCCTCAAAGCTCTGCAGTAAGACCAGTTTTGGGTGAATGGAAGGGGGGGGGGTGGGGAGCTTGCATTGCAATACAGACAGTAAGACCAAAGCAGTGAAAAGTCAAGGCTATCCTCAGTCATTCATCAGATACCGATGTCTGCTGGGAAAAAAAAAAAAAGAGGTGTCGAACCATAAGCTCTGCGCTGACGGCTGTCATTCATCCTTGAAATAACGTGGTGTGCTTATCCACCAACCCCCGTCACACGAGTCGCCGCTGGCTTTACCGGCGCTGGAGGGAGCTCGCTTCATGCTCACTCATCCTCCCATTTCTAAAATGGTATAGCGTGAGACAATTCTCATCTCATTGGCTCCAGGAAGCAGCATAAGTAGCACACGAGTAGGGCTCTTCAGAAAGCGCATGGCAGAGCAGGGGGCCTTGGGAAATAAGGGGACGAGGGACGAAAGCGGGGTCAGCGTGCCTTTTTTTTTTCTTTTTGAAAGAAATACTTTTTTTTCTTGCCTTATTTCTCCCATTTTTTCGTTTTGTGCACTAACATTGGCTACAGTTGTGAGCGGACATTTTTAGGCGTTGATATTCTTTTTTTTAACCAGCCACGCTCTCTCACACACACACACAAACACACACACACACACACAAAAAGCCAACTCCATGCAGAAATGCAAAATTCCACTCTGTTTGACAGTCATCAGGAGTTTTAAGGGCAAGTTGTGAGGAAGGAAGACAGGACGAGTGAGGAGTGAGCGGATGGTCTTTGCATTCTTTTTTATCCAACTGTCCATCATCATCATCATCATCACCATCATCCCGATTTCTATTGCCTTTTTTTTTTTTCCCCAGCACACGGGAGATGGGAGGCTGTGCGCCTGTCCCGTCCAGTTGCCCGGCTCCGCATTTCCCGCCTTGACGCGGAGGAGAAGAAGCAGAAGACTACACGTCCGTGAGCATTTTGGTGATGTTTACGTAGTTTGTGTTGGCCAGCGTGCAGTTGGCCGTCTTAAGGTTCTCCTCCTGGATCTCCTCGCGGCTGTTGTTCACCGCCTCCTGGATCTCCATGTAGTCCGATTTACTGATGGTGGAGCCGCTCCGGCTCTTCTTCAACTCCTCGGACGAGTCGGCTTTGGCCACGTTGACCTGCAGGTACTGCGCCTGCTCCTCGCCTTCGGTCTCGCGGTGATAGAAGTAGTTGAAGTTGGACACGATGACAGGCACGGGCAGGGCGATGGTGAGCACACCAGCGATGGCGCAGAGGGAGCCCACGATCTTGCCGCCGATGGTGGTCGGGACCATATCCCCGTAGCCTACCGTTGTCATGGAGACCACGGCCCACCAGAACGCGTCCGGGATGCTTTCGAACTGGGACTCGGGCTCGTCCGCTTCGGCAAAGTAGACGGCGCTCGAGAAAAGGATGACCCCTATGAAGAGGAAGAAGATGAGCAGGCCCAGCTCTCTCATGCTGGCTTTCAGGGTCTGACCCAAAATCTGGAGCCCCTTGGAGTGACGGGAGAGCTTGAAAATTCGGAACACTCGCACCAAGCGGATGACCCTGAGGATGGCTAAAGACATGGCTTGCTGACCCGCCTGGCCGTCGTCCGGCTTTTCCGCGAGCTCCGTGCCAAGAGTGATGAAGTATGGGATGATGGCCACGATATCAATTATGTTCATTATGTTACCAAAAAAGCCAGCTTTGCTGGGGCAGGCGAAGAAGCGCACCAGAAACTCAAAGGAGAACCATATGATGCAGAGAGTCTCCAGGATGAAGAAGGGGTCAGTGAAGTAGGTGGATGTGTAAGTGATGATTGTGGTGTTGGTCTCAGGATAATAGACTTCAGACCTGTGCATGTCGTCATCATCATTGCGGAAAATGGGGAGGGTCTCCAAGCAGAAACTGACAATAGATATCAGAATGACCATAACAGAGATTATGGCAATAATCCTAGCAGGACCTGAGCTCTCTGGGTACTCAAACAGCAGCCACACCTGTCTCTGAAACTCATTGTCTGGAAGAGGACGCTCCTCCTCCTTGATGAAACCCTCGTCTTCTCTGAATATCTCGATGGCCTCGTCCCCCAGCTCGTAGAAGCGAATCTCCTCTGAGAAAATATCAAGGGTGACGTTGACCGGCCTTCTTAGCCGGCCCCCTGATTGGTAATAATACAATATAGCGTCAAAGCTGGGTCTGTTCCTGTCGAAAAAGTACTCGTTCCTCAGCGGGTCGAAGTAGCGCATCCTCTTTTTAGGGTCCCCCAGCAGCGTCTCTGGGAACTGGGAGAGGGTTTTTAGTTGAGTCTCAAAGCGAAGCCCTGAGATGTTGATGACCACCCTCTCGCAACACTCGTGGTCGGCCTCCGGGTCGTAGTCCTGCCCCGGGTGTGTGGCCGCCTCGTCAGAGGGGTCGCCGGTGGCGACAGTCATTCTGCAGGAGGTGGAGGCCTGCACTTTTCAGTGAGGCGGGGTCCTGCAGCTTGGAGAACTGCAGGCAGGGGCCAGGAGAGGGAGGGGGCTCAACGTCGTAAAGACCTGACGGCCACAGGATGTCCCCCTAGGATCCGACTGCATGCAGGACAGACAAAGCAGAGACAGACAACCAGGTCAGGCCCACCGCAGACATGATTCATACAAAACACTGTCAGAAGATTTTTTTTGTTTTTAGTTATAATGTCTTGAGAAGACAATCGATGCAACAATGAAACAACTGGTGTAAACTTGCCCATGACTCGGGCAAATTAATATGCAAATAAACCATCACCCCTGCATATAAATGGCTTCAATGCAGGTAAACTCTGGCACACTAGCACATGAAAGCAAACGGACTCTTGTAAATTAGGACACCGGTCTGCTGCAATGGACAAAATCCACTTAAATGATCGGGACTACTTTTTCTGCAGTAGAGCCCTGCATGAATACGGCAACGCAGCAAGCACCGAGTCCATATAGACAACATCCTGTCTAGAATATCATAGAAATCCACTGCAGTCTCAACGCACACACACACACACACACACACACACACACATATATGAGACGCTTTTAAGATTTAGTGCTGCACCAAACAGACACACACAGTCATACTAACTGACTTCTGTTTTGTTTTTGTTGGAAAATTTTAGTCTTGAGATGGTGCATGTCTCTGAAATATTCAAAAACCACCATAAATAATTTATACAAGAGAGGAAAGAGACTGTCTCTCGCCTGCATCTCCGCTCAGAGTGGCAGCGCATCGTTTCACTAAATAAAATCTATAGGAAACATTTAACAAGTCCATAACTGCCTAATGCCTTTCATAACATTACCGGATCAGTGCAAAAAGAACAAAATGCCAAGACTTTAAAACATACATATATTCAAAATCACTGAAGGTAAGCTGCTTTATCTTGATCTTCAACATACCTGCAGGCATCTTTTTTCACATCTGCTGTGAGTTCACGCTCCTGCCGGACGTCGGTATCAGCAAGGTGAATAACCAGCTGCGACAACCAGGTCGTCCGAGCAGGTAAAAAAAAAAAAGATCCAATGTGGGAGATTCGATGATATTCACCTCATGTTGTCTGCGGCATCCTCGCCGTGTACACCGGGTACAGTACGTGCGGGTGTGTCCTCGCTCTCCCCTCCCAGACTCCTTTCCTATCGTTGCCGTTGGATGGCGATTGGGATTGGCAACCAAAAAAAAAAAAAGGGAGGAGGGAGGGAACCGATCGAGGAGGTGCTGGTGCTTCCCTCCACCGACCAAAGGTGCTGTGATCAGCACAATGATTTGCCTGCGCTGTTCGCCCTCCACGCCAGCATGACTGTGACGCGCTGTGGCTGCAGACAGCCGCAAAGGTATAAATGGTCCTGATGAGAGGCTGCTCGGAGAGCCAACATCTGCAGAAGGGTGGGGAGTAAAAGCGATGCGATGCGAGGAGGAGGAGGAGGAGGAGGAGGAGGAGGAGAGGGGAGTGGGCAAAAAAATAAATCGGTATTACCAAGCTTTCATAATTAGACGCGTTTGTGGAAACGTGCGTCAGTTATTCCTTTCGTGTTAGTGTGACAATAAATCGGCAACTCACTCGGCCAATCTGTATGTGTATTGCCCGTTTAGGCGCGCCACGTGGAAACATGCACACCGTGGATTCGCTGGGGCAAGCGCGTCCGCACGTTTAGCGCACGCGGACACCGTCACGACACGGTGAACACGGACAGGTGTATTCAGGCACCGACTTGAAACGGCGCGCATGAAAGAATCGGCCGACGTGGCGGGCTCCGGGGGTGATGCAATAACGGGGCGCCTCGGTTCCCAGGGGCCCGTTTTATGCTGCTCGCCAGAAGGTGACAAAGTTTTTTTCTCCAGGTGAAAGATTTCTGAGTGAAACCTCTTTCTGCAGCAGTCGGCAGTGGCCGCTGGTGCTTAATAAAGGTTACAGTCAAACCTGCATTCGGGCACCGCCGCGCATACCAAGAGCCGTGCTGGTGATGGGAGGGGGGGGGGGGAAACAAAAACAAGGCGCTCTCCATCCGCACCGAAGGCCACGGCGCCACTCCTTCCACCTTATCTGCAGCGTGGGCAGTTTAAAGCGGTACAGCATCTCCAGCATCCTTCGGCCCGGATGCTTTCAGCGTGTTGTGCTTTATTCCAACCAGATTGGACAAACACAAGGTTTTTAACAAAGTAAGCTGCACCTGCTTTGGGTTTTTTTGGGGGGGGGGATAAAACACTTGTCCCACAGACTCTGTGTTTTAGTGGGACGCCTCCCTTCATTCAGCTTCTCTTGTTGAAATTAGAATAACATCCTAAGGCAACAACGCTGATATATTCCCCCTCCTTGGCGACAAGCGGCATCAATAATAGATAGGAGGGTGACTAAAATAGATCAAAACCTCCATGACTGCGCTCGGTTATGCACACAGAAGATCAGAGGGGTCAACAGTAAATCCTCGCCCCCGCCATCAATACCGGGGCTGGGAATCAAAACAGCGCGGGCAGGAGCGACGTCCAGAGGAGCCAAAGGTCAGCGGGAATCCCTCGCATTCGAAGGGGAGGAGGTGGACGGGGTGAACGGGGGGAGGGAGGGAGGCCAGCCGGATTATTACTCCTGGCAGACACGAGACCACCACGCCTCCCCGCCTGGTCCCTTCCGTCCGTCTGCCCGTCTGCTGCCACTCATGCGGATGCCCCTCAATGTCTTTCGGTGGCTTTCCCCACTCCCTCATGGCAGCATGGCCATTATTTATGAGCCGGGGGCCGTTATAAACACATTTAATGCAGGACTTAAAGCTCAGTTCACTGTATTTGATGGTCGGGTTAAATTAAAGGCAAAGGGTCCCAGCACTGTGCGTGCTTTTATCACAAGTCGACACGGGGATGGATGATAGTGTGCAAGTTGGCAAATGATGGCGCCGTCCATTTGTTTCCAAGAGGTATTGATTTCCGATCAGATGCAGTTTTGGAGCAGGAACCTTGATTTTTTTAAACTGAAGGGTCATTATCACTGAGCAACCGGCTGAATGGCAGGTGCGTTTGATTATCTTACAAATAATGGTTGATTGATGGTAGATTTCTATCATTAATGAAACAATACCGACCAGGGAACCCCAAGGCTCATTCCTATACTGTCATAGTACACGTCTTTCCTGGATCGCTGAATGAAGGCGAAAAGCGGCACCTTTCAAATACAAGCGCTCCCTATAAATATGTAAATTCTCAATTATCTATTTGGTCCAGGCTCGGAGACAACAGGGTCCGGGTCCGTACTCCGACCCAGATTCATGGTCGTCTGTCTGTAAGTGACCCCTGCTTTAAGTTTTCCAATCTAAACTCATAACCACTGAGTCAGTGCTGCTCTCTGCCTCAGTGCTCTGGACTGCAGTGCTGTTTTTACGAACCCTCTTCCCAAGGTCCGTTTAACCTCTTTACTCCTTGACACTGCATTGCAGCAGCCAATAGGTCTTCAGCAAACACGCAAAGTGGCAATATTATGCTAAATGCATCACATATATATTTGGACCATAGAGTGGCTCGGTTAGATAAATATATGGCATACTTGTGTCCACAGGACGAGATGGAGATAAAGGAGGGAGGGATAGGGAACAGAGAGCATCGTACAAAGAGTGGAAGGAGAAGAAGAAAAGGGAACGGAAGGAGAGGGTCGCGCTCGTCAGATTGAGGCCCAGCGGGTTGAGAGACGGCACTGGAAAAGAGCCAGACACCAGGAGAGACACAAGGACGCTGGTCCACTGCGGTATGCTGGCAAGCTGCACCTCAATTACACCCGGATGACCTCACAGAGGTCTGCACACACCCGCTATAAGAGCTAATTATATACACTCCTAGGTCTGCAGCAAACTTGTCGCCACCTGTGGACATTTCACTCGTGATCGCAATGTCCAATGCTGCCGATCTGCAAGTCAAAAGCTACATCTTGAAACATCTCGCTGAAACAAACACATTTGTGCCGAGCCCCAAACGATAAAAAGGAAGAAGAAAAAGAGAAAAGCAAAAGAGGTTGTATTGAATTCGGTGACCTATCCTGAAGGACTGTGAGTCGGTGTGACCGCTGCAGGGATACCCTACGCCCTACACAGTGCGTCCGTATGGCTGAGTGAAATTCAAGTCGAGGTAAGTGCTTGCTGCAGGAACACTTCAGGTTGTATTACACCAAGGTCACCGGAGTGAGGATGAGAGGACCAATGTGAAACTGATTGTGTTCGTGACAAAGAGCTTTTTTTTAAATGCACAGCAGAGGGAAGCAGATGACTTTGGGCATTCAGGAAGCATGTTGCTCCACCCCAGAATGTTTTGCGTTCTTTTCTGGTTTTGGGGAAGCTCCACAAAAACGTGGCATCAAAAAGCACGAGCACTATTCACATCTGCTTATCAACATTTCAGAGGCAGTGGGCTGTGTTTGTTTTGTCGCAGCACAGATGCACATTGTGGGACTGGTGGGATGCCGAGTGACAGCGACTGTGTCTCTGCGGCGGTGCAATCCTTTGTTTTTTCTGCCTCAGCCTCGTGCGGCGGTCTGGTCTGCAGTCAACACCGCAAAAGCAGCCGCTGTCCGTGAAGTATGAGCCAACCGGCGCTGCACCGTTCCCAGGATTGCCACGTCACATCGCCAAAAAACTGAATGTGACTTTTTCCCTCCAAACGCTCACGGACTACTGAAAAGCACCTGAAAGCACCACAGAAATTGCCCACAGTCAGCATAGTCTTTGTATCTGGGTGAATCTTGTCCTCAGCCTCATTCGGTTGCTACGGAGACCATCGCCGGGGGCAGCAGTGGGAGGAGGCTGTGCGGTGACATCACGCCCACGGCATCTCTGGTGCCCCTGAGAGATCTCAGGTAAAGTTACAGCACCATGACGAAGCGCTTTTCGTCTGCCTGCAGTCCGCTGCATGAGATGAAGATGAACAGGCGTGTAGAAGGAGAAGTGTAAATCACGTGCAGGACCGTCCTCCTCGTTTGACAGTTCCACACCTGGCACCATGTTTTCCAGCCCGTAGGAAAATAGTTTTTGGAACACGTTCCCTCTGGGTGGGGGGGGGGGGATGTGCTCGCCGTCTGAAACGCTCTCACTGAGCACCCTGAACACAGAGTCCTGATGCAGAAGACTGAACTTTCCGAAAAGCCCCCAGAGTATCATTACATGTTCTGTGAAGAGCAGATGGACCAATGGCACCCAGAGAGATAATGGCAACACGCAATGGCCGTTTGCATGCGGCTTCTAGTTTATGCAGCACTGATTTACAGTTTTAGGGCAAATACTGTACCACATGAAAAGAGCGGCGGAGCAGGGCGAAGAAAGAGAGAGAAAGAACCTGCAGAGCTGTGAATAACCAGACCCGGGCTCGCTAACTGTACCCCCCCCCCCCCCCCATCCGCTGCGTCGCTTTGGTAAAGTTCAAGGATGACGAGCGGCGACTCTCTCCAACTGCTGCGAGGAGGCATCTCTCCTCATGTGTGGCCAATGCCGACATGACGAGACGAGAGGGGAAGCCCAGGGTCCGGTTTACCCCCCCCACACACACACCCTCCTCCCTCCCGTACACGATCCTGCACTGTGTGTGTGTGTGTGTGTGTGTGTCAACATGCACACTCATGTCCACCTCGACCAGGATCCCCAAACCAGATGATTATTGAACCCTTTTTAAAAATAGCAGACTTGTTCCTGTTCCTGCTTCCATCCTCACTTTTGGCATGTTCATTTCTATGCATACATAACTGGAATAAAACATACAGGGAGGGCGGGTAACATTTTAACAGAAGATAAGGAAAATGTACTCCAAGTGACTCTACTCACTTCAAACTAAAAGCCAACATCGTCCACACAAGGAGCCTTCATCTAAATAAAATACTGCCGATATCTCCACTCAAATCAAGAAATACCTGAATGAGAGAAAGTACACATAATCCCCAAGATGACAAAACACTTAAAGAGGTGTTCGCTGTTTGGCCACTTTGCAGAGGCGGAACACACAATTATCAGCATCTGAAGTTGTTAAAGCAAACACATAGGTTGTTTTTTTATTGTCGAGAAGGATGGAAGTCCACCAATCAACGTCCTTTCAGTTCTGAGGGGAAGATCTGACTATTTAGCTGCTAAATGCTGCAGTGTCTTCACTGGCTAGCCACTAACTTCTGTCCGTCTCCTGTTTCATAATTACATGGTAGCCTCAAGCGTTTCATCACAAGGGCAGAGTCTGCAAAAAAAAGAGCTGAGAAGCTGAGATGCAAACCCCCCCTCCTGACTGAAGCGTGTCCATTATCGAGAGAGGAATATGGATGAGTGCTTCTCCCACTTTGATAATACATTTTGATGCCAACCTCTATATGGAACGAAGGGGGAAATTCCAACATTTAACTCCCCATGAGGCCACAGCAGACGGGATTTCTTACCTCTCCACAAACCAGAACCAGACGAGCTGAGCTGCAGGTTCTTTCTGCAGCTGGTGATTCACGCGCTGAGGGACCCGCAGCCACGTCCCCTCCGGGTTGAAAACATATTGAAGGAGGACTTACCTTCCAGTTAAGGGGACAAAGCCACTCAGCAGTTCTGAGTTCTGATCTGCATGAACAGAAGCTGAACCCAAACTCAACCTTCATACTTCCAAAGCACAATATTAGTTACCTGTACATTGTACATTATCAATATAGGATAGAGACCCAAGCAAAGAGGTTGTTTATTTCATGCGGGTGGTTTGTGCTATGGTTCTTTTATCATTGGTAGCTCTTAGTGTTTAGGGAGAGCTTACTTGGTAAACAGACTCCCAGAACATTCATTCTTCAACAACGGATGTTGCCAGCCGAGCACTTAGCAAAGTGAAATGCTAAGTAACCTCACCTCCCCTTCTGTGCTCGTTCATTTGCACGTTCAAAGTCATGCAGCACTCGCAAACTGGTCTTCCTCCGGTCTCCTTGGAAACAAAACAATAATGGGTCGGACCAAAAGCCTTCTAAAGGTGAGATAATCCCGGACAGTTACACTGCCGAGGACAAAATCCCCTGTGCGTCCCTGATTGTTTGTGGTGTCACATAAGTATTGAAGTGGGGACTCGTTACTACGCCACAAAGGAGCTTTAATGACTAAATATATGTGAGTATTAGGATATGATCAGATACAGAGCCGATCAATAACTACATAAAACAGGGCTAAATAGTGTCATTATAGGCTCAATAACACCTTCCCAGTAGTAATGGCTCAGTGTATCCACTAGAGAGCAGCACATAGCTATTTTCATAGTGATACAATTCAAATTCAGTTCAACTACATAATGAGACAATAGTTTATACAAATATTGCCGTCTTTACTTTGGAATTTTGAACACATTCCTCTTCTAATCGGCTTAATGGAACACCTCTGCAGCAAGTTTGTGACATTTGCTGCTATTCTCCGTTTTATTTTTTCATCATCAAAAAGAGAATAACTATACAGTAGATTAACAAAACAAGAAATTTAAAGACATAATTTCAAACTTCAAAAGTAAATTAAATGATCAATCTGCAGAAGGAGAAAATAATCAATATTGAAAACAATAAAACAGCAAAAGCAAAGTATGCAACATGCAGAGAAAGGCATCTGATTAATGTCAAATCCTTTGAGTTTTGCTGTTTTGTTTTTTTTGTCACTTCAGCTTTCAGCCACTTTGTACCAAAAGCACACTTGCGAATGTGTGCTGGAGGGGATGTAAGGTATAGCTGACGTCAGACCAGTTGGCATGCCAACTCAGACACCGAGGCTCACGCAGCAGCTCCAGTGATGGGAAACACCAAAAAAGAGGCTCATGATTTCCACACATGATTGCCTGAGACCACCGAGCTAATCACCTTTAAATGAACTGATTAACGATCATATTTGTCATTAGACATTATTCACCTGCTGATGGTCCCTTTTTACCCCTTAAGGATACATAGAGTGTACAACAGTTTATCACCTATGTGAAAATAAAACACAAGACCGTGGTAACGTCAGAGGGGGTTGCCCAGGAAACCACCGTTGTCATGGAGACTGCATCACAAGGCGTGACCGGCAAGCAGTTGACTAGAAGTTCCTCACGCCGTCCTTCCTAAATATATTAGTCATGCACCCATGACCTCTGACACGCTCCATATGTTTCATATATGCCATTCTGCTGGCTTTGGACGGAATTTGCAATATTAGATATTTAGCAAATGGTTGAAATGAAATTTTGAGTCAGGATAAGTAATTTTCCATTTTAATGAATAGGCTTTATAGGCAGCTCTGAATAAAAATACAATTTTACGAAAAGCTAGACGTATATGTCATGATAAGTGTTTCCATCTACTTGTATACCTGAATATTCATGTGAACAGTCAACATCTCGAGAAGTTATGATATTAAATATATCCTAAAACAGACATTTGGCTGTATAATCTATTCATCACATTACTTGACAATGGACCTTTTCTTTCCACGAAGCACACATCTTTTTAAATGCAATATATTAAGTAGACAATATGCTACACGTGTATCCCAATCATCAACACCAACAACTTAAACATCAAGATATGTATAGCATCGAGTGGCCGTGTACTGCACAAATATTGCTTTTAACAAGCTGCTCACTTCTTGAAATGTTGTTGTTATTGTTGTTGTCCTTGTTATTACCGAGGCCACTTTTCCATTGCGAATCTTTCCGGTTCATATTAATACTTCTTGATCTCTTAGAAATACTCAAACCATGTGAATCACGTGGAACCAAGAAAAATCCTGTTTGCTTAGAAAAAAAAACAATGCAACTTGTCAAAAAAGAAATACGCACGTTTATCCACAGATATGGACCGACACATTATGATTGGCTATATATTTATATAAATATAATATAGCTACTGAGTCTTCACGCTCCATAAATGGTGCATCGCGGGGCTCATTTACACATCTGTGAAGATCTTTGTGATGTTCACGCAGTTCTGGTTGTTTTCGGTGGAGAAGTTGGGCTGCTTGAACGCGCTGTGGATGCACTCCTCTATCACCATGTACTCGGACTTGCTCAGGGACGTGGAGCTGCACGACCTCCTCAGCTCCTCCGTGGGGAGGTGCTCGCAGCTGCTGGTGTGCACGTACTGCGGGGTCTCCTCTCCGTCTGTCTCGCGGTGGTAAAAGTAGTTGAAGTTGGACACGATCACCGGCACGGGTAACGCAATGGTCAGCACGCCCGCTATTGCGCACAGCGAACCCACGACTTTCCCACCAATGGTCACCGGGTGCATGTCTCCGTATCCGACGGTGGTCATGGTGACCACCGCCCACCAAAACGCATCGGGGATGCTGGTGAAACTGGACGAGGGGTCGTCGGCCTCCGCAAAGTACACCGCGCTGGAAAAGAGGATAACCCCGATGAAAAGGAAGAATATGAGCAAGCCGAGTTCCCGCATGCTGGCCTTGAGCGTCTGGCCCAGAATCTGAAGTCCCTTCGAGTGACGCGACAGCTTGAAAATGCGAAAGACCCTCACCAGTCGGATCACCCTGAGGATTGCGAGGGACATGGCCTGCTGGCCGCCGTTGGTCTCCTTCTCGGCCAGCTCGGTCCCCAGAGTGATGAAGTACGGGAATATCGCCACGATGTCGATGATGTTCATGATGTTTTTGGAGAAGCGAGCTTTGCTGGGGCAGGCGAAGAACCTGACGAGCAACTCGAAGGAGAACCATATGATGCACAGGGTCTCGATCACAAAGAAGGGGTCCGTGAACGGGCTCGCCACGTAGGGCGCCGTGCCGTTGACCGCGGGGGCCACTGTGGATTGGTCTCGGTCATCCCGAAACTCCGGAAGAGTCTCCATGCAGAAAATAACGATGGAAATCAGAATGACTAGCACCGAAACTATGGCTATCCCCCGCGCGGGTCCGGAGCTCTCAGGGTACTCAAACAAAAGCCAAACTTGCTTTTGGAACTCTCTCTTGGGCAACACGCGTTCCTCTTCTTTTATGAACCCTTCGTCGTCGCGGAATTTCTCCATGGCCTCCTCTCCGAGTTGATAGAACCTGATCTCCTCGGAGAAGATATCAATGGGGACGTTAACAGGTCTCCGTATGCGCCCCCCCGACTGGTAGTAGTACAGGATGGCATCAAAGCTCGGTCTGTTCCTGTCGAAGAAGTACTCGTTCCTCAGCGGGTCAAAGTAGCGCATCCTTTTCCGCGGGTCGCCCAGCAGCGTGTCCGGGAACTGGTTGAAAGTTTTCAGCTGCGTCTCAAAGCGCAAGCCCGAAATGTTGATGACCACCCTCTCGCAGCATCCCCGCCGGCCGCGCTCGCATCGATCCAACGACGGGCGAGACGACGAGAGCGCGGCGCGCTCCTCCGGCGTGTTACCCGCCGACATGACGCCCTCCTCCGCCTCGGCATAACCCGGGCCGTCGGTCGCGTCGCTCCCCCTGTGTCCGGCGGTCGGGCGCGGCCGGATCACGCTGAAGGTCCGGTCGTCCATACAGGTGTTCTTCCCGGTCCGCGGGGGGCAGAGTGCGCCACGCCTCGCGCGGCCAGAGCGCCACAGCTTCGGAGAGCCGGGTCCGACGCCAAGTGCATCGCTTCCAACTATCTCACCTTTCTGCGCGCGTTGTCGCACTTGGAGCGCTCCCCTCCCCGCCGCCCCTTCTCACACCCGCCCACGGCGCGCACATGTCTGACACACGTCCACCATCCCGTCCAATCAGAAATGAACTTCACACGTATTGTCGCGCGTGGACGCTTTCATTCATGAAAGTGGAGCAGCTTCAAAAAGAATCACGGCTGGAAGGCGAGTTTTCGCACTGGGTCGGATGTGACTTTGGACAGTCAGTCATCGCGTCACATCAGCCACTGAGCTGATGTAATCAGGTCTGTCCCGACAGCAGGGGGTTGAATGGTGGACGTCCAGATGTCCACGGTCCAAATCCCATGAATGAAACATCCCCGCGTTTCGTGTCTTCTTGTTTTGGGGCTGTTGCTCTCCGTGGTGCTGGAAACAAGCGCGCGCGCCATGCTTCAAAATTGATGAGGGTAATTTACTATTTTTTTTGTTTTTCATTAACATTGTGCAATTCTTGCTATTCATTTCAACATTTCAAATCGAAAATGAAAAAAAAAAAAGCTGAGCCTCTATTCGGTCCAAACATGGAAACATCTTCTCAACTGAACATATGAGAAAATCCTCTTGACTGACACTGATCCAAAAAAAACTGTTGACCTCTTCTGAGCTGCCGGGAAAAAAAACTGAGGAAAACCTCTGTCAGTGTATAGACTGGAAAGCCGTCTTAAGCTTTACTATATCTCTGAAGTAATACATTAAACCACATTAGTCCCTGCAAAAAGCAAGACTAAACACAAATGTATTGGACCCCCATGTGACCATCTGACTTTCTGGGTGATAGAATAGATTCATCACATTTTCTAGTGGTCCGTTAATTTTCAGACACTGACAGTTAATTTCTCATCAATACATTAAAATCACTGCATTGAAATAAGAAACAGGCTGTTATTAACAACCTCCTGTTAGTAACATCTCAGTGAGCATGGGAAGTCTTTGTCGGGGTTATCCATTTATTTTTCATCACCATGGCAACACAATGTGAAGTCTTTTGTGAAGGAGGAAGGGAGATGAGTTTAAGAAGTTGCATTATTTCCCCCCCCGACTCGTGCCAAAGCTGGTAAACCGGTGACTATTTTTCACATTCCTGCTGAGGAATGAACACGTTTACATATCTGGATCAAAAAGAAAACCAGGCTGTGGCGGTTATTGAGTGTCTTCCGCCAGCTCATCAAACACTGAGGAATCGGCTCAAGAAAAGGGGAACAGACAGAAATCTTTGACCCGTAAGGCACAAGACACACTTTCATCACGGCACAACACTCATTATCGAGCAGCCACGGCTGCAAAGCTCCGTGTTCCCACTCCGTTTCTTTCATCCGATTCAAACTCCAGCTAACGGCTGAAAACACATCAAGTGTGAATTCCTCCAGGAGGTGTGTAAACACCGACGGGTTGAGAAAATACTGTTTGGATTTGCTTTGTTGTTTGGATGAACAATTGAATGACTTCTTCATGCCGTTACCTGTTCCTGGTTACATTGTTGTGGGGCTGAATGTGTGTTGTGGTTAGCATCATATTCCCATGCAGATCACATCTATGTGAGAGAAAAGGTGTCAGACTTGATATCAAGTCTATTTTTTGAACGGTCACAGCAGTACAGGTGATTTATTCCCTTCATAAACCCGAGCCAATGATCCCTCTAGACACTGACCTTTTTGAGCACATGCATATTCCTCATTTCACATGCTTGCATACATGCTTAATGGAGTTTTTACCTCCACAAGGTCATTCAGTCCATTTCTAGCCCATCCTGGCTGCCTGCCTGCTGCAGATTTAAAGAAAAGACATATTATGTATCCAAGCCTCTGTAGCTGAAGAAAGCTAAAAATATACTTTTTCTCTCAGTCTGGCAAGTTAAAGAATGACTTAATAATGCAGAAAGTGCCATTTTAAGTGACGTTACAAGTGACATTGTGCTTCAGGCCCGAGATGGAGACGAGGGTGTTCGACCAAAGATCTGAACTGCATTTCTCCTTCTGGTGGATAACGAGGAAAGAGGGCGGTTTTTCATCCAACATGACAACACTTGCACTGCTCATTGAGTAATGAGGGGCAAGGCACACACTGATCAATAGAGAGAGAGTGAGAGCAGCGTCTATTGATCAGTCATGCATTGGCCGTGAGCCCTGTCAGTACCCGATCATTACGCATTCCCATTGTCCGCCGCCACAGCCATCGGGGGTCAAGGTCAAGGTCACAAGTAATGCAACAACACTTTTTTTCTTGCCACAATGTGATGCTGCCAGGCGAAGGGTTAAATGATGAATAATGGAACTGTTTTTGAAAGCTGCTTCACTCAATATCCTGTCAGATGCTTAAGGTGGCAAATTCAAAGCAAACGCCATGTTATAAATGCCGTGTGATGGGAATTACACTGGGATTTGTCCAGAGGAAGTAACGACTGAAGACTATCAGAGCGAGGAGCTTTAAGGCACTCGCACATTGGCTCCACTTGGAGAACAAATAGAGACAAAGTAGCTCCGGCTCGTCATTTACTGGGTCTTTTGTTTGGTTGTAAACAAAAGTCTTGGAATTGAACGCGGTGGCACTGGTAAACATTTACACTATGTCAGATGTATTCTTGTAAAAAAAAATACTGTAAACTACTGTAAAATTGGGTAAAACTGTATAGTTCATGTGGAACGAAGGTTATATTGGAGTTTTTCAGTAGTAGTTGGGAAACAGGGCTTGTAAAAGAGAAATCTCGAAGTGGTTATATTTAAATGAGTCACAATATGTTTTTCTTTGGGAGGTAAGATTTTCTATTTGAATTTGCGTACGCCTCAGGAAGCCTTTCCCCACCAAGGAAATGCGAGCAGCTGCTGCCACAGCGATGAATAAAACAAGCGTGACACACATGAAGACCGCGAGGGAATTGAACTCTGCATCTCATCAACGTCTGTGCCTTAATGGTACAGCTGCACTTCAATAAAACAAACACACAAAGCACAGACATGCCACTTACCGGTGCCTACTGACATACAGTGCATAATCATATCTGCACATGTCCCAAAAAAATATAACACACACACACAGAGTGCAGAAACCAGACCAGGCTTTCCAAGACAAACACTTTCCTGCAAACATAGGCAGAGAACCAAAACAAGTGAAATTGGGCACGTCCCACTGAATGATAACTACTTGTGATTTGCATCATCTGACCTTCAACAACCCGGGAAGCATTGAATGTGAATTTTAATGAGGTTCCTCTCCACTAAAAGGTGGATACAAATTGGCATTTGAGGTGCGATTGCGGGATGGAGCCGCGCTCCCCTCGGGGATCACGTGACGCGAGTCCCAGGATTTCCAGAGCCAGTGATGGCACGCGAACGGCATCCGCGCAGTGAAAAGTGAAGGTCGTTGGCAAGGAGGGAGGAGCGCACGTTCGGCGAAAGGATCCCGCCTCCTGGATTAGAGATCCCTGGGGAGAACGCGCTCCCCGGCCCCTGAATCACAAGCCGTCACATTGATAGAGGTATTGGGATTGGTATTGGTGGGGCTGCGCCGAAAAAGACTCCCCTGAGAGGAGTCTGTTTGCAGTAGAAAGACCACAGGCATGGACCAGGATGCTAATAGGGTCTCCTCAATGATGCCGGTATGATCTTATTTCACAAATAAAAATAAATGAACTGAAAATGTTTGACAAAGTGAAAGCAGCAATTTCCTTCAATTTAGAGGCTGGATCAAATGTGCAAAGGTATTATTGCAGATTTAGTTTTTCTCAAATCAATCAAACAACTAAAGATAGCGGCTCCGAAATAAAAAAGGGGAATACAACAATACACATGCAACAAGCATTATATTTTACTGGCTCTGCAGTAAAATCAACACAACAAACGGCGTAGATGTAGCCGGGGAGCAGAAAGTAACCAGACGTTATTCCTTCAATTGTTATTCTCGTCTTAGAAAACGGCGTCCTGCTGTATTATTTCTGCAAATTATCAGGCTCGCACCTTCCACACACGTTTGAAGTGCGAACCACAGTTTGTAAGGAGCAGACGGGCAGACTAATGCAACTCCCGGGTGGAACTGTGAACGTCTCGCTGCCAAATCACAGGGGGAGAAAACAGAATGGGGGAGGGAGGGGGGGTGAGCAGCAGGAATCACCAAGATGAAGAGGAGCAAGAACTCAACTAAGACGGCTATCACAATAAACAACGAAAAACATGTGCTGGTTACATTTCAGCCTCCTCGCCGGCTGTGGATGTGGGGGAGTCCAAGTGTCTCAGTAGAAGGGAAGAGGCTTAACGTCATTTTAAAGGAAGAGAATTAGAGAGGGACGGGTTGCACATAATACACGTACTGTGCTTGCAAACTGTTTGATTTAGCGAGAAGTTCCCTGGAGGCACGCCGAGCTTTCTCGGGAAAATCCAGGTGAGAAGAAAACACAGTGTAGCATCCGTACTATGAGAGATGTGGACAATGAGTCTCATATGACAACCATGGTGTTTTCAAATGAGGCGAGTTGACTTGCTGTTACTATTACTAATAATAATAATACTGCTACTACTGTTGTCAATTATTTGACTCAGATTAATGTATTTTTGCAACACACACAGAATATTTAATCATTTGTGTTTAAAATATTCATAGACCGTGTAAGAATTACAGTGAAAAACAACAATAAAAATGGACATGTTGGATACTTAGCCTCAAAATTTCTCGACAGAGAAACTTAAAGAAATATAAAACAACAACAGTCATTATATTAATGCATCTACAGCAATACGCGTAGCTGTGTGAGGCCTTCCTTTGGCACAACAGTTTGAGTTTTCAATGTCACTTTTTAAAAGAAGAACTTTAAAACTTTGCTCTGTGAACCGCGCCATCCTAAATGCAGTTAGCAGCTTAGCAACTCACATTAGCATGAATAGTAGAGAAGGTCGTCTGTTCAACTGGTGTATTGGACACATTCCAACCAAATGTCACGGTGATCCATTCAACAGCTGTATGTAATTCTTTCAGAGGTCAACGTCCGGGTGGATCAGCTAAATCCCTGCGGTATATCTATTTTACTGCGACACCACATTTCCCACAGACCCATAATAAAAAAGGATGGATACCAAGATATGAAATTAATTTAGACCCACATTTGAGTCTTTACTGTTGGTGCAGAGAACAAAGAATCTGGATGGCCGCCGTGTCGGCGCGACCGTTTGAAGAACGTGTCGCATATGAGTCGAATTTCATAGAAAGACGGTCAGGAGGAGAGACAGATAAATAAATTACCAGTTGTGTAGATCTGCTGCCAACAATACTAAAACTAATATCTGTGTGCAGACAGATGGTGACATTGCTTTGATGGTATTTTGGCAGGCGGGCGGTAACCATGGTAACCATGGTAAAGGGGGATCCCAGCACAGCGATAAAGAGAAGGGAATTTTCCAGCTCTGTATTCCAGCCTGTAGAAATTACAACTTCGAGATTAAATTTCACAGCTTGC